GTATTCTTCCAGTATGGAAAAAATGTTGAGTGACACGTTTGAACGTGTCTTCAACGAGATCAAAGACATCAAAGCTTCACATAACTCTCTAATCAACCGTTTGGATAGTCTGGAAGAGAAAATTCTCGAACTAAGTTTTGAAAGATCCAATCAGCAAAAAATGCTTTATTCAACACTTGTTAAAATTCGATCTGATGAAAATAAACTAGAAGAGAAATCAAAACGTATAGCGTTGATTGGCATAGATGAACAAGGCGATGAGAACCTTACTCGTCGTTTTGATCGTGAGATCATAAAGGAGTTCGTCTATACCTCTGGTGAACAGCAGCTAGTAGAGGAGTTTGAAAAGGGAAATGTGACTGTACAACGTTACCCGCCTGGCCAGCCAAAGAGCCCTCGTGTGCGTGGGCGAGTCATCAAAGTTGGTCTCCGCTCCAAGGAGTTACGAGACCAACTTTTACAGCACATGAGGGCCGGGCGCCAAAGTTTAACCCAGAAGTTCATTCATTCCTATGCAAGACGCGACTATACGTATGAAGAGCTTCAACTTGATCGGGCTCTTCGTAAACAAGCTGGCGACCTTAACGCCCGGGAAGGGAAGTTGATGTATGTAGTTCGCGATTTTGAAATAGTTAAATTGAAATCACCGCGCGAACTTCCCAGACGCTCTTTAGTCTCCTCTAGTCTCCGTAGTAACTATGTGAACGGTGCATCTGGCAACAGAAGCATCGTTGACCTGGAAGAGGAACGTGACTCTCCTACTACAAATTTGACCTTATCACCTATTTATTGTGCGCAGTATACCCCCAAAACTTCAAATACACGCTAGAAAAACGGTTCCCAACCTGTTAACCTTCAAAAACATGACATTTTTGAGACATTTTTAACAAACGAAACTATCAGTGGACAAGTTATTCTCTTCAATGCCCGATCGATTTGTAACAAACTACCAGAACTACATAGAATTCTTTATTTCCAGCCTTCCATAGTTTTTATCACTGAATCGTGGTGTAAATCAGAACTCATTCACGATGCAAACATTTGCCAAAAATTCTGTTATGATATTTATAGATGTGATAGAGAAGGTGATATTCAAGGTGGAGGCATTCTTGCTCTTGTACACAAAAACATTGAACACCATTTAGTGTCTAGTCAGAGCTTTTCTGTTTACTGTCAAAGTCTTTGTATCTGCTTGACCGACTTTGCAAAATGCATATATTTTATCTTGGTATACAGAAGTCCTTCATGTAACAATGCCTCATTTGAAAACGCTTTATCATCCTTCACTGAGATACTCGACAGAAATCAAGATTGTGTACTTTTAGGAGATTTCAATATCGCCTACAGTGTTTGGTCCACCGAAAAAACAAAACAAAATCACAATTTTTCTTCCACCAAACTACGACAACTAGCGGAGACTTATAATCTACATCAGCTCGTGAATGCTCCAACCCGCGACATGCATCTACTAGATCTTGTTTTCACAAATAATTGTAATCTGATAAAGAATCTCCGAGTTCGCTCCCCTTTCTCTACATCGGACCACTCCTCCATCTCATTTCAACTGCGTAGGCATCTTTGCAAAAGCTCCTCTCAGAAATTCTTGCTTGATTTTCTTCATGCAGACTATGATGAGATAATTGCTGATCTGCTTAGAGTAGACTGGCGTAATATCATTCAAAGTACACTCTCGGCAGACCAGTGTTATCAAGTGTTTGTGGAACATTGTCATCAGTTAATAAATAAATTTGTACCTAAAATCAAAATTGATCGAGAGCACACTTTTGCATATCCAAAGAAAATTCAAAAACTAGAAGCTAAAGTTTCTAGACTTTACCAAGCTAGACATAAGATTGGAATGCAAAAGTACCGCAAGTTTTCTGCAAAGTTGAAACGTGAATTGGCTCTTTATAGGCTATCTGAAGAAGAAATTATTGCACATAGTCG